GAGAGGCACACACAGAAAGAGACAGAGACACACACAGAGACACAGAGTCAGAGAGAGACACAGAAAGAGATAGAGACACACACACACAAAGAGACACGGAGAAAGATAAAAACACATGGACACCCACAGACAAATAGACACACATACAGACATAGACACATATACAGAAGGGAGAAGTGACCCCGATCCAAACCTGCAATAGCCGCCAGGCACATCAGGACCATGATGGTTTCCAGGAGGATCTTGACCGGGACGGACGGCGATCCGGAGCCGGGAGGGGACGCGCTGGGGGCCGGCCAGCGGCTCTGGGCAGTGCCGGCAGCTCCGAGCGACAGGTTGCCGGGGAGAAGCGGCGGGGACTCCATGCTCAGGCGGCAGTGTCGCCCGTGGGGAGGCGGGCAGCGGCTGCTTGTAAGCCCCGCTGCGCTCCCATGGCCCCGGGGAACCGGCTGCCCCAGCGCCGCTGATCACCCTGAGAATACCACCCCCCCTCCGCCTCCCCTTCCTCAGGGAGGGGGCTCCAAACCAGCCCGGGCTAATGTCAGTCCCTGCACCCCTCTCCTCCAGCGGCTCCGGATCTCAGCAGGCGGGAGAAATCCAAAAGAAAATCCGCTATCCGCGATGACCTCTTCCCATCTCTTCTTTTTCCTCTCTTCCTTCAGAATTCTTCATTTAAAAAAAATCTCTGCAAAAATCCTTCAGTGAATCTCAAGCCCAACTGCATGGGCCAGTTGAGTTACTTGGTCTATCCACTCCCTCCATTCTTGGTGGGGTCCCGTTTGGATATAAAGTCACTGTGCATTTTCTTTCCTCTCTCTCTCAAAATCTTCTGTTTCCCCTCCCCACTCACTCTACAGCTCTGCACCTGACTCCGCCCCGCCCGCTTGGCACCGATTACCCTCCTCCTACACCCAACACTGGCATCAAGGAGGTGTTGGAGGATAGACATACACCAACAGTGAATTCGCTGTGCCCTGCCAATAGAGGCGGGGATGGCTTGGGGGGACGAGCACAAACCACCGTTTACCATCAATACAGCAACATTTTGGAGACAGATCTGGCATCTGTGTGTGTGTGAGAGAGAGAGTTAACATTTTAGTTACTGCCTTTGTTTTTAATCAGAGCTGATTGATGTTAGAGACAAGGTGCTCTTACTGTTGTAGTGTCCTTACCTCTGAGCCAGGAGACCCTGGTTCAGGTCCCACTTGTTCCAGCAGTTTGTAATAACATCTCTCTGAAAATGAGCTGCTTAGAAAATAACTAGACGGATGGGTATATGAATAGGAAGAGTTTAGAGGGATATGGGCCAAATGGGGGCAAATGGGACTAGATTAATTAAGGATATCTGGTGGGCATGGACAGGTTGGCCCAGAATGTCTCTGGGACTTTTTTTCACTGGAGCTTAGGAGGTTGAGAGGTGACCTTATAGAGATTTATAAAATCATACGGGGTACAGATTGGGCTAATGGTATGTGTTTTTCCCTAGGATGGGGGATTTCAAGACTAGGGGACACATTTTTAAGGTGAGAGGAGAGAGAGATTTTAAAAAGACATGAGGGGTAAATTTTTTACACAAGAGGGTGGTTCACATGTGGAATGAACTTCCAGAGGAAGCTGTGGATGTGGGCACAATTACAATGTTTAAAAGATACAAAAACAAAGTTGCTGGGAAAGCTCAGCAGGTCTGGCAGCATCTGTGAAGGAGAAAACAGAGTTAACATTTCGGGTCGTAGGAAGGGTCCCTGCATCCGCAGTTCTTTTGGTTTTTGTTTAAAAGATATTTGGATAAGTGTATGAATAGGAAAAGGTTTGGAGGGATATGGGCCAGGAGCAGGCAGGTGGGACTAGTTTCGTTTGGAATTATGTTCGGCATGGACTGGTTGGACCAAAGGATCTGTTTCCATGCTGTACATTTCTATGACTGTATGTGGGAGACAAATATTTTCTCTGCAGGAAGAGCAGATGCAGGGGGTCAGAGAGCAGCATTCAGCACTCACAATGCACTCAGTGCCTTTAACATATTAAAAAATGCCCCAGATCAATGGTGTTTGATTTCATGTTTTATTTTGTTTCTCATTGTTAGTAAATAATGCATCTCTCTTTCACTCAGAAAATCTTGTAATTGGCTCTTTCATTTTGAACGAGCAAATTACATTTTAATGGTATGGGATATGTCTGTGCAATATAAAAAAATTGAAAATCTTTGATGTGGCCAACTTACCAAAGGTGAAAAGAGGGGAATTCATTCCCCAACCCCACCCCCTCCACTCAACTGGGGGTAATAAATACTTTTTGAGGTGTAGTCACTGTCGTAATGTGGGAAATGCAGTGACCAATTTGTTTACAACAATGCAAGATGATAAGGACCAGGCAATTTGTTTTTAATAATGCTGGTTGAGGGATAAATATTGGCTAGGACACCAAGAAGAATTCCCTGAGGGTTGCAGTGGGAGAGAGATCCACTGAGGTCTTTCTGGAGGGAGGATGACAACTTCTTCAAGGTCGGCATTCTTGAAAGAGGCTTCGCAGTTGGGTTGTAAATCTCTCAGAGATAGCAAGAACTGCAGATGCTGGAGTCAGAGACAACACAGTGTGGAGCTGGAGGAACACAACAGGCCAGACAGCATCAGAGGAGCAGGAAAGTTGACATTTCGGGTCAGGACCCTTCTTCAGAAGTTTCTTCCAATCCTCTTCCAAGGATGCCCACCTTGAAGAAGTTATCCTCCTCCCTCCGGAAAGACCTCAGTGGATCTCTCTCCCACTGCAACCCTTTGGGAATCTCCTCTGCCTTACCATTTCTGAAGAAGGGTCCTGACCATAAAGCCAACTTTCCTGCTCCTCTGATGCTGTGTTCCTCCAGCTCCACATTGTGTTGTCTCTGATTCCAGCATCTGCAGTTCTTGCTATCTCCAAGAAGGATTCTCTGCTCTTTTTTCAAATAGTACGTGTTATGTCTACCTGGTAGGGTAACTAAGGTTTCAAGATTAATGTCTCATTCAAACTTCCAACAGTGTGGCGTTGCCGCAGTATTATACTGGAATGACAGTCTTGATTTTTATGGTTAAGTTCTTGAATTACCTTGAACACACAACTTTTTGACTTAGAGGTAAGAATGTTGTCAACTGAGTCAGAGCTAATACCATAAAAGGGCATTATTTTCATTACAGAAAACTGTTTGCCAGATCTAATTTTTCAGCTTGTAAACATTCAAAGTGGTGTTGCATATCACACTGGAGATACAGTTTTCTCTTATTTTTAGACCATACTGAAATAACGAAACATTGAGGGAATGGAAGTGATGGGTAGCCATTTAAAGAGCCCCTTATCAAGGCATTGGCCACACAAGGCATGGAGACCCAGTTGAGAGGAGCTCTTGTTTGAAACTGATGGCTTATGTAATACATAGAATCCCTACAGTGTGGAAGCAGGCCATTCAGTTCATTCAGTCCAAAGAACATCCCAGCCAAATCCACTTCCCTATTCTATCACTGTAATCCTGCATTTCCCATGGCTAACCACCTGGCCTGCATTTCTCTGGACAATAAGGGCAATTTAACATGGCCAATCCACCTAACCTAACATCTTTGGACTGTGGGAGGAAACCGGAGCACCCAGAGGAAACCCACACAGAGACGGGGAGAATGTGCAAACTCCACACAGGCAGTTGCCCGCGAGGGCAGGTCCCTGGTGCTGTGAGGCAGCAGTGCTAACCACTGAGTCACCATGTCATGATAACATCAAAGTTAATAATTGGAAAAGTTGTCCTACTGCATTGCAAAGCTCCTCACTGGAAACACAATCTTGTAATATTTACCCGACATCACCTTCAATACTCAGCAAGAGCTTATGGAGAAAATTCCCGACAGGCATAAAATCTTTTAAAAATTGGACTAACCTAGTGTTGAGTGTTGTTTATCTTTAGATTTAGCCACTGATCCCCTGATGAGAAAGTCTCTTCTACTATGGTGATTATCTTCATTCAGAACCTTATCCGTCTTGCCAGATGTCCTGTCGGTAGGAAGGGCTCATTTGTATTGCCTGTTATTTCTTTCTCCTGTACTGTATGTAACGAACTCTGAGCAATCTCTCATGTCATGCTCATTGAATCATTTCCAAATTCTAATGCCCACCATTTGTGTTCATTTCTTGTTGGCCTGGCCCCATGTTATTTTGCGTTTTTTCAAATAGCTAAATGTTATTTATTCAAAAAAAATTTAATACTCCAGAGCAGTTGTAGTTTCTATTATACTTCAGGAATCTTCATGTAAGCCATTAGGTGCCTCAGTAAAAACTTCTCCAAGTCTCCGTGCACTCACTTATCACAAGGAGATATTTAACCTCACTGCAGTTGCTGAAGGTTGTAATACTCTTCCAAATTCTTTTTATAATATGGAAAAGAATAAAAACCCATCAGATGGAGAGACATTGAAGGCTGCTTCAGGCATTATTTATCAACTCTGAAGAATGGAACAATGAAGTGACACAGTGCTATATTTAGCACATTACAATCCCACAGCAACATTCACCTCATGATTTTATTTTTAAAATTATTCTCTCATGGGATGTGGGTTTTGCTGGCAAGGCCAGCATTGTTGCACATCCCTAATTGCCCTTGAACTGAGTGGTTTGCTAAGCTACTTCAGGGAGTAGTTATGAGTCAATGACATTGCTGTTGGTCTGGAGTCTCATGTAGGCCAGACCAAGTAATGATGGCAGATTTCCTTCCCTGAAGGACACTAGTGAATCAGACAGCTATTTTTTTCATCAAGATCAGTTATTGTTTTACAGTCATCATCACTGGGACTGGGCTTTAATTCCAGAAATATTAATTGAATTGAAGTTTTACCGTTTGCCATGGTGGGAGTTTGAACCCATGTCCCCAGAGGATTGGCTTGGCCAAAGTTGTACTAGTCCAGTGGCAATTATCACTACGCCACTATCTCCCCCAAACATGTCCGAAAAACAGAATGTACATCCATAATGCCAAAATGCCCTTTGTGTTAGCACAGATGCAGACCATGATATTTTCTCACTTTGACACAGACCACAGGAAGCCCAGCTGACATCACCAGACTGGGGGCAACGGAGCTAGGGAGGCTGAGGGTGAGGGAGGAGCAGAGGTGGAGTCTGGGGTTGATAAAATGGAGTTTCCCCGTCCAAGCAGCGTCTGCAGAGTAGGTCTCCTCAGTTGCTACTCCTTTGCCAAGACCCCTCCCCCCACCACTGTAACTATTTCACCACGAGCCTTGTCGAGCCACTACACTGCCTGGGAATCAGGAAAATGACCAAGAAAGAATTGGAAGAGTTAAGAACATAGTTACAGTTTGCAAGTATGGAGAGATGATCTAATAATATTTGGAACATTATTATGATAATGGTAACCATAGACTATAGGCATTCAACTTCCATCATCTGATTTTAATACCTGAATCTTTTCTTAGCCAAAAAAAAGGTTTTTAAATGGACAAATACTGACCATCAAGCTTGAAAAAGACAATGGAACCAGACTCTGGACTAAAAACTGAACTATATTTCAACAATTACTTTTGAACAGCAGAACACAGAATCATGGAATCATATAATTTTACAGGACAGAAGGTGGTCATTTAACCCATCCTGTCTGTACTGATTCCTGAGAGAGCTACACAACTTGTCCCATCCCCATCCTTCAGCCCTATCTCCACAGCCCTCTAAATTCATCACTTTCAAATATATATCCAGCCATGACAAGGAAAAATAGAAACATAGAAATTAGGACAGGAGTATGCCTTCAACCTTGCTCCACCATTCATTGAGTCATA